CCAGCCAGCCCCACCATTATTCTATTATATGAAACACATTTGTTTTGAGGAATTTCTGACATCTTCTTAGTTTGTATTGCTCTTCCATATCTGTGCCTAGTTAGTAGGCAGGAAATCTAATTCCCCGGGAAGCATATTATCTGAAACTTACGATCTGTATATGCCACAATGTTTAATTTTTTTTCTAAATTTCCCCTCATCTTCTTTGTCGATACCTATTTTTAAAAGTCATTATTGCCTTCCAGCTGTCCAAATTTTCTTCTCACTTTTCTCTTAAAAACTGACTTAAAGCAGCAGGTCAATATCTCAGCCATCATTAATTTCACACCCTCCTCTTCTCATTTATTCACTGGTCTTTTTTCTCTTGAGGATCACTTTTTTCCTTGATACATTTATAAAAGACCTTCTTACTCCATCTAACCTCTTTTACTAGCAATATCTCATTTCCCACTTTTGCACTTCTTATCTTTCTTTGCTAACTTTAAGTTGTTCTGTCTATTTTTATATAGTTCCTGTCTTCTCCACTCCCAAGGCAATTGTCCTGTTATACATGGACCTTGAGCAGCCACTGGGGATGACAAACTGTATTTTTACTAGAATTTCTAGAGGCAGAGGGTACCTGCAGCCCTGTGCTTTGTTCAGTTCTCTTGCTGCTACAGTGCAATGGCTTAGACTGTATTGTCTTAGACTACTTCACACCTATCTATAATTATGAATCTTAATAATCTCATTGTATCATACATCTTAGATTTCCTCCCAATGTGTTTTTCAACTAGGAATCATAGCTTGTAGTGTTGTTATCAATGATCACATTTCTAAATAGCAGTGGAGAGAATGGAAATGATTTAGTCTATAAGGGTGAGGTCATTTGCATACTTTTAAGTGATTTGCATGCTGGCACAGCCTGGAACTGGTTCAGAGGCTTCCCCACATTTCTCCCTTCATAACAAGGTGTAGCTTATTTTCCTCACTAAAAAACTGTCCTATATTTTCCTCTCTCATACCATTCTCTCCCACTAGAGAATAATACACACTAACACAAGCATGACATCGCCAGGTAGTCTCTATCTTCTGAGCTAATGTTCTCTTTGGCGTAATTCATCATCCCCTCTGATTTTTCAGGGCTGGTGACAATGGTGACTCCCCTAATATCTGAATGAAGTCCTTCATAAATATTTTGCTGAGTGATTGATATCTCATCTAGTTATCTTTCTCACACCTCTTCCCCTCCATATATAACAGATGAGATTCCATTACCAGAAGCAGATGTTGTGGAAACAGTATCAGGAGCCCAGAAACCCTCGTTCTAGCCCCAACTCTCCCATTAACTACCTCTGAGATCTCCACGAGCTACTTAACCTCTCTGGGCCTCCAACCTCCCTGTAAACTGAAGTTGAAAATGTCTTCTTCAGAGGCTTACCAGGTAATTAGAAAAGATGTATATAAAGATATATATACCAAAGCACTTGATACTGGGATTCTTGACACCTCAGCTAAATCAGGTTAACTTTACAAAATCAGATGAAATATAGATTATTTTCTGTTTCACCCATCCCCCTTGTTAGCTTCTCATAATAATAAGCAAACACACTTCTAGGAAGGTCCGTTACATTTTGAGAAATTACTAATGGTGACCTGTCAGATACTGAACAAAAGAATAATTTTAACCACTCCCACCTCCATCCCCATCCATGTATCATTAGCAACCACATTCTCCACCTTTATTTGTATAACTTAGGAGGGACCCTGCAGGGAGAAGCAAGGCTCTTGTTTGATTTCTGACTGAACCTCATTCATTGAAGTAAGGTGTCAGGGCTGCCTGTGGATCTGGAAAGCATTTTGGAAGTAAGAAGCAGACAAATGTAAATCTTTTAAACCCCTATGATAAGCAAACTCTCCTCAGTTCAACATATAAATATAAACATTAAATCAAATCAGATGCTTATACATTTTTTAAACCCATCATAAAACATTTTGTTTTGACAGCTTGGTAATGTAAAGTAAAAACACTGACAGCCAAAAGAATCAGCATCTTTGCCTGCCTACTACCTGAAAGTCTTTCCTTTATATAAATAGCAAAAAAAAAAAAAAAAAAAAAGAGAGAGAAAAAGTATGTTTATATAAAGGGAAACACTGATTTACTAGAACTGATTGCTTCATAGTCTAATTACTTTTCAACTGGCTGTTCCAAATTAAGATGTCATTGATGGCTTTTGGTGATATATTTCATTTTAAGCAAATTTATTCTATAATAGAGTACATCATAATGGAAAGCAGAGTTCCTACTCTTCCATCCTCTTTTGTAGCCTGATATCTTGACAAGTAAATTAAATTTAGCAGTTAAAATGCTTCCATTAGTAATTTTATTAAGTTAATTAAAGAATCTCTCTTTCTGAATTTTAACTACCTTCCTTTCAGAACAATGTTGATTTCTTTTTTTCTTTTTTTAATTTCATGTGTTTAGGGACTGTGATATATTCTAGGACCAATCAACAAGTCTATCAGGATTACATTTCTGTGGGCAGGATTCTACCAAGAAAATCAGGTAAAAGGAAAAAAAAATAGCTCAAAAGTCTTTGAAAGAGATGGTCTGTTTCATATCACAGAAGAACTAGGGTTTTAATATCTTTTAAAAAGGGAAGAAGAGGAGGAGAGGAGAAAAAGAGTAAACCAAAAACACACTTTTTGGGCTATCTATGTTCCCAGGGAAAGGCGGAACTCCTAAGTAGTATATCCATACAAAGAGGGTAAATCATGAATACCTCAAGTAGAGTGTAGTTAATAGATGGAAAGAGAAGAACTACAGCTCTTTTCTTCTTACTCAGTAAGTGTGCAAGCAGTACTGAACAAGATCCTGAAGCTGCTAAAGCACATGTTAAGTGAAACCTTGGGCCCTCTCAAGAATGTGGCATTTTAAAAGAAGTTAAACGGGCGCCTGGGTGGCTCAGTTGGTTAAGTGACTGCCTTCGGCTCAGGTCATGATCCTGGAGTCCCTGGATCGAGTCCCGCATTGGGCTCCCTGCTTGGCAGGGAGTCTGCTTCTCCCTCTGACCCTCCTCCCTCTCATGCTCTCTGTCTCTCATTCTCTCTCTCTCAAATAAAATAAATAAATAAATAAATAAATAAATAAATAAATAAATAAATAAAAGAAGTTAAACATTTCTAAGAGATTTAGGGTGAAGGAGTTGTCTCATTGACCATTAGCTGTTTCTTGTGGTTGGTATTCCTGAGGAATCACAGAAATGATTTCTAGAACTAGAAAGGAGCATTGAGAAAATTTTATCTTATCCTCCCATGTTAAAGATGAGGAAACTGAGGACAAGGGATTATTAACATCATCACCCTGAGAATAATAATAGCAACTCTAACAATAGTGACTGATATTGATTCAACTCATCACTGTGAAGCTTCACATACATTATCTCATTAAAAAGGCCAATGACGGAGATTCTTCTAATGCCCCAACATTATAGATATGGGAAATAATGCTGAATGAAGATTAAGTAACTTGTGTAAAATCTGTATGACTCCAAAGTCCTATGTTCATAACTAGTGCACATCTTTACCTAGGATGAACAACTAGAGTTCATTCAACTAGTTAGTGGTTCCACTAACTAGACTAAACACCAGTTTCTCATGTTTGCTCTTTACAAAGTTGGCCATATTAAGAGAATGGGAAATCTGGTAGTTAAGCTGAAGCTTGGGCATTGAGAAGACACTATGATTTATTTTAAAAGAAATCCCACTGCCAAAGTGCCCAGTGGAATATTTGCTTTATGAATGAAATGAAGGTTGCAGCCATGTGTTCAGACCCAAAGTGACATTTTATTTAAAATTAGGGGATACCACCTGTTACTCATTCATTGAGGAAATGGAGATCCAAGAATACAGCCCATAGCAATTTCTATTTACATCTCACACCTTCTCTCATTTTCTAATACTTTGAGCCTATCAAATAGTTCACTCTGGGAGCTCACATGCTCACTGTCCAATCTCCATCATTCCTCTCAAAATCACTTCCACCACCTCCTCAAATCCTCATGTTACATTCTTGCTCAGTACAGTCTTTCACATGCCCACCTCAGGCATCCACCCCAACTGCTGCCCTTTTTCTCTGGGGGGACTGAATGCCTTCATAGCTATGTCCCAAGCTCACCACTTTTCCATGGGGCACCATGGCTTTTTTTCCTTTCTATCCTTGCCCCATTCTTTAGATTCTGTTTCAAAATAAAAGCCCAAGAAAGGAATCTGGCAACTTATAGATGCTTCCTGGAAGGACAGAATAGATGATGCCATTAAACTACTTAATAGGCCAGATGAGAGAAAAATCTAAGACCACACATTATATATATCTATATATCTATATATCTATATCTATCTATCTATCTATCTATCTATCTATCTATCTATCTATCTATCTATATCTATCTATATCTATATATTCCTTCCCTCCTTTTTTACACCTGGAAAAAATTAAAAAGGCAGAAGGCAGATGCCTACCCCAGATGACTTTTGTATATTCTTGAGAGCCTGCTGTACTTTTTCTCCTTTCCCTTCCTTCCTTTTATTTTCTTTCTTTTTTTTTTTCTTTCTCCCAACATCAAGATAAACAAGGTTTAAGAGCTTTATTGCCTTTTGCCCCTAATTTGATCCCTTGTCATCCTGGAGATAGGTTTTCAAGATGGCATGCCACAGTTTCTGAAGCACAAGAAATTGGTAAATGTCTCTGGGAGTATTTTTTTGTGGAGGATGTTCCCTTTACTAAGCATACTGCTCCTCTAAAATGATGTCCTTAGAAAGAATCTAGCATTCCACAATATTTCTATAATTAATAGCTAGATGGACTCAGAGAAAAAAGAAAGTGGATCATCTGGTATGTTTTTTTAATTAGAAATGATCCTCCTTGCCCTGAAAAAGAATGCTACCTTTAGCCTAGAAGCATAATTTGTATATACCTGACCACATAACAAACATGTTTTTATTAGAAATTTACCTCTTACCTCCTTGATACCTTGCCATTCACATTCTATCTATTCTTTGGTGAGGCTCTTTTTCAATTATTCTGAAGATCGTGTTGTTTTTTTATATGGCATTCAAGTCCAGTAGTGAAATCTGTTTCATATTTGTAATCGGTTTTCAGATCTGGAAGAAGGCCAAATTGGTAAGTCCCTGTGAGTGAAAAAGAAAAAAAAAAAGAAAACACCAGAATTTAGTTATACAACCTGAGCTTATAAAAGATGAGGGAGAAGAACTTGCAAAACATCCTCTCCTTTAACCCCAGTCATTTTGGCCCCGCTTTTAACCTGGGGAGTGACCAATTAAATGTGCAAAACCAAAAAAGAGCCATTGGGATTGTGAAACTATGTGGCAAAATCCTCATTATTAATCACATCGAAGGAAGAATGTGTGATTTTAAAATAAAATATCAGGGAAAGATGTAACAAGTTTGATGCAATAGGTATAGTTAGACCCAGATGTGAAAGATTTGATAAGCTTCTTCTTACTTGTCCTTCACCCTGGAAGCTTCTGAAGAGGCCTGAATATCTGGCTTAAAGTGAGTGATGCTACTTGAAATGAAAAGCAAGGAGATTGCAAATCACTCTTCTGCACAAGCTTGCAATAAGCTATGGCATGGCTGATGGACAGATTCAGGTATTTAAGTGAGTGTGATTTCTAAGCAACAATTTCTAAACCCTACATTGTCGTTGACCTCCATCACGCGATTGGACATGTTTACGAAGGCACATGCAGTGGAATGAAATGCACTGGGAAAAATGCTGAAGTCATTTTCCACCACCACAGCTGTATTACTGCAAAATGAAGCCATATTATCCTGATCAGCAATATACACCAGCTTCACACCCTTCTTCTGGTTAATAGTCTGAGTCCATTCCAGCAGAGAACCTTTCTTTTTCAGGAGTCCCAGCTATGGGTTTGGTTGGAGGAAGATAACCTAAAGTGTATTCTTACATAAGGCTAAGAAACAAAAAAGGATGTGAAGAAATGGTACAAGACTATACTTTTGTCTTTTCCATTTCTTCCTCTCTTTCTTTCCTTCTTAAAGGCAAAGACATGATAAAGATAAAAATTGCCCCAAACAAGTTTGATTGGTCGAAAAGCAAAAGCAAAGTACTCAAACAGCAGCCTTTTAAATCAAACACAATTAACTGTACCTTGAAATATATGTTCTACAATTGTATGTTCAATTAAATAGCTAAAAACAATTTGTAAAAGTTGAAAACCTCAATTGCACACTGAGGTTACATAGGTCTGTTCAGAGTCCCTGCTTCTTCACAAAGGCCCAAGATAAGTTACTTCTTCAAACATTAAAAGCAGAAATTTTCATTGTCTAGTAGACACTCATAGAAAGCTTTATTGTCAATTAAATCAAATATTTGTATTGGACCTTTTCTTAAACCTTGTCAGAGAGAAAAAGGAAACACCAATAAAAAAACAAACTGTTTTTCATGATTATCAGAGCACTGGCTGTCTCTGATCCAGCCCCACTTTGTCTCTATTGCCCATTGGAATCATTTCTGTGCATTCTACTTCATCCGTTTCTAAGTTATAGTCTGTGATATATTTCATACATATAAGCAGTTTAACCTAGGCTGGTTGAGGCTATTTCCATTTCAACCACTGATGAAAAAACAGTATTGATAACAGCCAGAGCACAGCAATCTACAATTATAGCCATTCCAATTGCTTGCAACCTAGTGGTGAAATTTTTCACATTCCACTTACACACATCTATTAGACTATAAGATACTCCAAGGCAGAGACCATCTTCATCTTTAAATCATCACAATATCTGCTATAATATTGGGTATATTGATCTCAAATGATGAAATAACAGAAGGAATGAGTGAGTGAACGAATGAGTGAAGGAAGCAGGGAATTAATATTTAAATACAGGCAACAATTATTTGTGTTATAGTTGCACTATACTGAGAACTGTCTGGAAGAGTTTTCAGAGTGCGACAGAAAAAACTTGGCTGACTATTCTTGGAGAACACGTTGACTGTTTGTTGGATGGAGACAGTTCACCAAGAAAGCAGATTTTGACCCTTCAAGAACTTGAATGTGATGATGAGTTTATGACAGTTCTAAAAGCCAACATACGGTCGGTGGCCAGATTGTGGTTCTGGACTGAGAGGCTTCCATTTGGAAGGCAGACAAGCATTTGAATTATGGGTCTAATGAAAGTGTCAATAGCAATCCTGTTACTGGAGGAGTTGTAAAACCCTGCTTAATGAACTAGGCAGGGACACAAAAACACAATGGTCTAAAATGTACTGTAGGAGAAAATGATAATTAGCCCAGATTTCATGTACAAGATAAAATGCATAGGGATGATATTACCACTGAGCAATATTATAGCCCTTCAGGGGACTCTTTTGTTAACAGGGTTTGGCTCAGCCTTTTCAATCCTCCTTATATGAGTGGAGATGTACGACACACAATCATGAGCTGTGAGTTGGGGAAAGATGTCAGATGGTAAAATTCCTCTCATAGATGCTGACAAACGTTAATGACAATAAAAAGAGTTCTGGCCTCATTAAGGGTTCATTGTTATTTAGGAGGCTTATGCAATATGGGATGATATGCCAAATGGCTTCCTGCACAAGAAAAATCAGGGTGAAAGAGAAAGTCATTCCCTGATCTTGAAGTTTACTTTTCTAGACCACCAATCATCAGCCAGGAAAGTAAGGCAAGACGAGGCCAGACCTACAGTGAATAAGTGGGCAATAGCCTCCTACTTTCACTGTTAAGAGTGAGAGAGCCACTGAGGTAGCCCTGAGTACAAAAGAGAACTTTGAACTTGGAATCAGGAGACTGAGACTCTAGTTTTAGCCTGCACTAACTCTCAGTTTGAACTTTCTCATCTCTTAAAAAAGGGGTAGAGGTGGCTTGGAGTGGCACTTCAAGAACTCTGAATGGCTTAAGAAATCATCTGAGGATTCTGTTAAAATACATATTCTGATTTTGTTGGTCTGGAGTAGATCTGAGATTTTGCATTCTTAACAAGCTCCCGAGTTCTGCTGAGGCTGCTGGCCTATTCACTGCAATATGAAGAATAGGTGACCAGATAACTATTTCTCAACTTGCAAATTCTTTTTTTTTTTTTTAAGATTTATTTATTTATTTGAGAGAGCGAGAATGAGAGAGAGAGAGAGAGAGTACATGAGAGGGGAGAGGGTTAGAGGGAGAAGCAGGCTCCTCGCCGAGCAGGGAGCCCGATGCGGGACTCGATCCCGGGACTCCAGGATCATGACCTGAGCCGAAGGCAGTCGCTCAACCAACTGAGCCACCCAGGCGCCCCATCAACTTGCAAATTCTATGAATCTATCAAAGTCAGTGATAATCTGTTGGCTATTTGTTACTGCAAGTGAGAGAGATGGACAATTACTGAGGCTTTGACAGCATCAGTGCAGTCTTTTTGTGTGTTTTTTTTTCCCTCATCTTTTCAGTCTAAATAAGCTGCTCTAACCTAGTTAAAAATTATATGAATATTCTGTCCTTTAAAAAAATAAATTGGTCAGGAATCTTGGTAGTGGACTATTAATGTTGTTAGGCTAGCTAATGATTGCTTTTGAATCAACTCTTTTATGACCAAATGGATTTCATGTGGAAATATAAAATCAGAAAACTGGAAATTATGAGTTAAAATTTTGAACCCATACCTAATAAAATAAGAGCAAAGAGGCTCAAAAGATAACAGGTAAGGTATAGTGACTATACATAAAAATAAGCACAATAGCCAGAGGATGAAATGTAGGGTATGGCTTGTATCTTACACAAACAGTATCCTAGATGTTTAGCCTGTTGAACGTGACCTAGAAAGCTATAATCCACTGGGTTCTCTCCATAGATACTTTGTTCCCTCCTTTCCCAAGCTTAGTTTTTAAGAGAGCATATGTATATGGGGGAAGGAGGGAGGAGTACCATATGAATCCATGGCTTTAAAAAGTATTTCACTAATCTGAAGACAGGGATTTTGTATTTAACATTTTCTTGATCTCACTAAGCACAATATCTGGCACATAATAGGAGCTCAACTAATGTTTGTTAAAAGGAATGAACTGAAACCAATGAACATTTGATAAAGCTGCAAGACTGAAATTAGGTAAAGTTCACAGGATCTCCAACAGTTTAAAGGGTCAAGAGTTTGGTGGAGGGGGGGGGGTAAGTTGGGGAAATGAATCGTTGGTTATTAAAAAAAAAAAAAAGTTTTTCTCTTCCTCCTCTCAAAGAGGAAGGTTTGTCTAGAGAAGAATCAATGAATTAATCTTTGAACAAGATTTAATGAGCTCATATTATGTGCTTTATGCTTCATATAAGCTCTTTTCTTACCTCTTCCAACAACCCTGTGAAGTAATTATTTTTATCATCCCCAAGCTGCGCCAGGTGCCACAACTCGTAAATGGTAGAACTAGGGGTTCATCCAAGCGCATCAGACTTAGGAGACTGTATTCATCATTTAACTTGTAATGGAGTTGAGGTGGGGAGGAGGAAGAACAAGATATTTTTTAAAACAAGGAAAAAAGAATATATTTCCTAAAGTGCCAAATTATAGAGACTGTGAGTTGTAAAGAAATCAAGAAAAGAGTGAACTCACTTTTGACTTAGGTCAAGGTTGGTTTCATGGAGGAGGGCTGGAAATGGGCCCAGAGTTCATTCACTCATAACATATTTGTATGCCCCATGTAGTTGGATAGACAGTAGAAAGATGAGGTGAAAAGATGAAGGGTCTTGAAGAACGATGACAGTGATCAGTGTTTGTTTTTGAGAATAAAGGGTCAGAAGGACTTGGTAATGCAGGCCAGGAGAAAGCAACATATGGGAACGGTTTTGTTGTTCTTGTTGTTGTTGTTGTTTTCATTTTCAGCATATATTGGGCACCCAAAATACATACTGCCGATAGGGTGGGGAAAAGGGAGCGTGTGTTGCTAAGATAACCTAAAGGCAAACTGTGAATAAGCTAAAATCTCCAGTCAGACAAAAGCCTATTTGTAAATTACTCCACTTAATTTCCCAGGTCATGATTGCCTCTCTCTGCAAAGCGGTTTATGACATTCTCAATTAAGAGTTTGCTATAAAAATGAATGAATGAAGTATTTCAAAACTGCTATGAGATATTAAAGATGAGTCACTTTTAAAAAGTGGTT